TTCTCCTTGTTTGAGATGAAAGTTTGGAGGGACGGCCGGGTCTTGGTAGATTTGCAGTGGTCTGATACTCCTTCCATTTCAATATAATTGCTTGCACAGTGCTCCTTGAGATGTTTAAAGCTTGGGAAATCTTTTTGTATCCAAATCCGGCTTTAAACTTCTCCACAACAGTATCTGGGACCTGCCTGGTGTGTTCCTTTGTCTTCATGGTTCTCTCTGCGCTTTAAACAGAACCCTGAGACTATCAAAGAGCAGGTGCATTTATACGGAGACTTGATTACACACAGGTGCATTCTATTTATCATCATCAGTCATTTAGGACAACATTGGATCATTCAAAGATCCTCACTGAACTTCTGGAGTGAGTTTGCTGCACTGAAAGTGAAGGGGCCGAATAATATTGCAAGCCCCACTTTTCAGTTTTTTATTTGTTAAATTTGATGTGCAAAACTGATAGAGACATACCCAAAGCGACTTGCAGCTGTAATTGCAGCAAAAGGTGGCGCTACAAAGTATTAGCGCAAGGGGGCCGAATAATATTGCACGCCCCACTTTTCAGTTTTTTATTTTTTTTAAAAGTTAAAATTATCCAATAAATGTTGTTCCACTTCACGATTGTGTCCCACTTGTTGTTGAATCTTGACAAAAAAAATAATTTTTATATTTTTATGTTTGAAGTTTGAAATGTGGCGAAATGTTGAAAGGTTCAAGGGGGCCGAATACTTTCGCAAGGCACTGTATATAGTCACATATATCTTATTTTATGATCATTATTGAAATCACACACTTTCAGAATAAATAATAATCCTTAAATCATGAATGTCTAGAATTAGCACATTGTCTTTACTGGGACACTGCTTCCTTCTACATAAAACATGAAGATTTGACAGTATGCTACACAATTCCCCCAAGTTTTCAGTCACTTGTGCGTCCTCATTACCATGTTTCTCCTTTGACGTTTCAAAACAGCAGTGTGTAACTTTTGAACAATCCCTTGTGACTGACTTATGAATACTGCTCCACAAAGAAGTCCAAGAATTTCAGTTTCAAACGGCAGCGTCACATGACCTGCTTTTCTATTACCAAAGGAAAACACTGTAAGATCAGAAAAAAAAAAGAATGAGCCAAGATACAAAACATTGGATATGCACACTGTAAATTACATTGGGCCAATTGGGACTGGCAAAGAAGATTAGCTTGGTAATAACTAAATCTGGAATATTATATTGACATTATATGTTCATCAATGTGTCCCCATCCCATAAAAATAAACATAATCCTATAAAGGAATTAAAAACCATAGAACATTCAGTCAAACTAACAGTTTTTTGATTTGGAAGTGTAATTACTTCATAACTTAGTGATATGTCCGTGTCATCAATTTTAGTTTTTTTTTTTTTTAATGCAAGTAGGTAGCTCTAAAATTCTGGTTCTGGTCTGGTCCTGGACTGGTGGTTTTGGTCCAGCTTGGTTTTCCTCCAGAGAAGAGCTCGTGCTAGTTACCATAGCAACACACTCTTTACTTTCCAGCAGTTATCATTTGGTAGCGGTTCATCAACTGTTTTGTTGCCATATTTCAAGTGATATGAACCATTTTCAGCACTTAATACTGTAAAAGGGAAATGGGTAAGTCATTTGTCACTTTACAAATGACCTACAAAAATGGTAGAAACAAAACTTACTTTTTTGAGATTTTTCAGAATTCCATTGCTCTAGTAATAGTTCTAGTAGTTTAAACATTCTGGGAGGATGGTAAAATCTCAGAGCGTCAATTAGAACAAAGCAAGTTTCTGAAATTGCAGTTTTAGCTTTACCCCTCTTCCATTGATAATTAGCACATTTTGAAAAGTCATCCAACTTAATATTTAGTATAGTAAAACAAATAAAATCCAAATACATTATAGTATGGTTTGGGTATGTCCCTTAGCATGTTTGACCCTGCGTCCTCTTGTTAATCTGTGGCCATGTGTTTGCAATCGGACCCCCGCCCCTCAGCTGCAGTGGCTCTGGCGCAGTTAATGATGCGTTCAGCCTGCGCCTTTATGACCCTGCAGATAAACTCATGTCCGACTCTAAGAACCCAACTTTAACGGCACATTTGGGTATCTGGAGACACTTCACTTCTCAACGCTCAGTTGCAAGAATGCATTCACACTTAAAGTAAAAAGCATGTTTTATTTATTCATTTTATTTGTGAGCCTGCATAGAGCTGTATTGTGTCAGGCCAGAAGTAAAAAACATTGTTGAGGTATTTCTATTTAACTCAAAAGTCATGCAATATTTATGCTGCTAAATAATAAACGTTGCAGAACAAGAACGGCATGGAATCGTTTTTCTGTCAAATGACAAATTCAACTAGAAATTGTAAAGTGGCTGAAGCCTTTGTGAGTGGCTTCATATTCTATACTACTGTTGTTAGGTTTCTAATAGGTCTGAAAAGGTACTATCGTGTTTTAAAAGGTACTATTGTATTGAAAGTGTTGAAGGGGTCTAAGAACATGGATGATTCAGGACATTTATGAACATTTTTTTGGACATTACTCATGAACCAATGGCTTCAATGTGTTTGTTATTATCGCATTTCTTGTGTTTCCAACTGTTTGGTTCTCTTATCTAGCATTGGCGAAATGACAACTTTGTAAAGTCCACCCCGAAACGACTGCTGTTGGGATTTAGGGACAAGATAAAATTGAAAGTTCCCTAATGTGTTGATAAGATAAGATTTGTTGATTTCACAATGGAGAAATGTACATGTTACAATTGGCATGAATAATACTGCATCATCCATCCATCTGATACTTCTGTCATTCACTAGTCACTTTACCTGTTGATATTATTACTGATATTTATTCTGCTCACATTCTCTACTGCTTAAGAACAATATACACATCTGTAAATACTCCTGAACCAAGTGCAATTATAGCTCTAGAGTTTATTCTATTTATCATAATTTATGCTTTATCTTATTTTTTAAATTGTCTATTATCCTAAAGAACAGACTATTTGATGTGTGCAATCTGAATGCTCTTATTTACTTCTTTCTCTGCTGTAATGTGCGCAACGATGACACTGACATTTCTCAGTGTCAGTGCGGCGAATAAAGGATTATCTTATCTTAACTTAATAGGATCATTCAGGGTGTGAAAAAGACAAGGAATATGCAAACATTAAAAATATATATATTTTGGGCAAGATATATTATGTACAACTAAATGATAAGTGACTATAGCAGTGCAAGTTTGAAAGGGTACAGATGTGTTGCATGTGTTAAAATGACCCAATGTAAGTCAATGGTGGAAAAATACTTTTTGTAAATACTTCATAAAGTGTCAAAAATAGTAACTTACATGAAACATTGAAGCCAAACCAAAGTAAAATTTGTTGAATTTGGTGGAAGTTGAAACGTGCCTAAATCATGCAGATCAAAAAAACTTTAAAACAGCAAATGGGGAAAAGTACAGGACTTGTTTGTCTCTGCTGTCACTCAAAAATAAGTGGGTCATTTCGAACACTGAAACTGAACTAACAGCTGCAGTTCAAAGATTGTTATTGCTGTTATTTGGTTGGCACACTTCTGTCAATTTCCAAAGAACCTCTGCTCCATCCAGTTTTCTTCCATCTTTTGTCAATCTGTCAACTTTGAGTGCAGTGAATAAATGATGGAGAAGTAACTGAACTTTATGTTTGGGAAAGGATACATAAGTACTATGAATGCAAATATTATGATGTCTGTGGAGAGTGAAAAGAAACAAAAACTGCATTTGAAGCTAGAATGGTTCAGTGAGTCAGAAGGTGCATGAACAAAAGACAGACTTACTAAAAGCATGATTGATACACTGTGTTTAATGATGTGAGGCCTGTTCTGGTTCAGTGATCAAACTTTAACCCACACGGCGCTGCTTCTTTTCATGTCCGTTCCATTCGAATTTCAAAGACAGCTGCACTTGAGCCTTCTGCTGTTAAAATTAAATGGACTCAGACTGTTTCCCTCCTCCTCTGAGTTAGGGACTCATGATTTCAAAGTCAATATGCTTCTGTATTTCATTTATTTAATATTTTATTTCATTTCATACAATTTCTTCCGTTCATCTGTTGCTGGGTCGCAGGGGCAGCAGTCTAAGCAGAGACGCCCAGACATCCCTATCCACACACACTTCCTCCAGCTCTTCCGGGGGGACCCCAAGGCGTTCCCAGGCCAGCTAAGAAACATAGTCCCTCCAGCGTGTCCTGGGTCTTCCCGAATGCCCGAGCCACCTCAACTGGTTCCTCTCGACGTGGAGAAGCATCGACTCTACTCCGAGCTCCTCCTGTGTGATTGATCTCCTCAACACCCTGCAGCACCCATGGAGCTAACACATCCATGGGTGTCGCATGCCTACGGCTGGATAACACTTGTACTTATGAACGCCTGTGAGTCAGACCTTTTGGATATGCCTGAGCTGAAATGATCTGATAAAAGCCATAACACTGACTTCCTGTTGCAGCAGGTGTTATGGGACCTCATTAGAATAAAAATATCTTGTGACGCTGAAAGTCTCAAACAAAAACAGAAAAGAATAAAAGAGCAGCAGTTTAACGGTGGCGCTGAAAATGGGGATGCGTGTCAAACATGTATGAGTCACTGTTTGAGTGGAACAGTGGAAAATTTAAAAACGATTAGAACATAGTGAACAAACGTGAGTCGTCATTATGCACAACAGTGTTTAATCTGAGTGAAGACGCATCAGCGAGTGCACGTTCTGGAAAAACACCTCATGATGTCCAAGGTTAAACACGGCATTTTGAAGGACACAAAACACAAACACATCTTCTGATATATTTTGGAAGAATAAATAATTACAGCACGAACAAACCTTTAAACAATGGTAGAAGAATGCTCCTTCTATTTTGATCTATCGCTGCTTTGATCTGCTTCTAACACAGGAGCCATTGTTTTTATGCATAAATGCAAAGCAGCCGAGGCATGTGGCGGTGGTGAATGATCAAAACCCAGTCTGAAATCACACACTGCAGCCGCCTGTGTTCCAGCAACCACCGTCCAGCGACCACCGTCCAACGACCACCGTCCAGCGACCACCGTCCAACGACCACCGTCCAACGACCACCGTCCAGCGACCACCGTCCAACGACCACCGTCCAACGACCACCGTCCAACGACCACCGTCCAACGACCACCGTCCAACGACCACCGTCCAACGACCACCGTCCAACGACCACCGTCCAACGACCACCGTCCAGGCCTGAATATATAACACAAAGGAGCCGAGACTTCACCGTGCACAATTGCCATTTTGTCATTGAGTATTCAAACTATACTCTTCTAAGGGCAGAATTATTTATTTTTTTAAAGCTACAAAACAATGAACATGATACAAACAATATAAAGTCAATGTTTATTTTTTATATAGATCATTTACAACTGCAAGAGCCCATAGTGACTCCACAACTAATGAACAAATTGGACACGAAACGTAAAATCAGGGGTCAGCTCAGTATGTGCGGAAAGCCCCAAGAAAGGTGTTTTTTACTAAAGTTTAAATTGCTCTGGTGACATGGCAGCTCTGACATACAAGGGCAGGCTGCCCAGGTTCAGAGTCTGGGTCCAGAGCCCGTGTCCAGAGCCCGTGTTCAGAGGCCAGGTCCAGAGGCTTGGTCCCCTTTGGTCCTCTGTTTGGACCTGGGTACTTCCAACAGCAGCTGGGAGGAAGACCTAATGGTTGTAACCGGAACATGATGGGACAACAATTCTGACAATCACACTAAAGGCAAACCATAAGGTGATTTAAAAACCATGAGCTACATTTTAAGTTGGATGAGCCTCAGGGAGCCAGAGCACTGGTTCTCAGAGTGATGTCATCATAGCAACTCATGGCCTGAAAGTAGACGGGCAACAAAATGTTGTATCAGTCATAATCGCTCAGTTGTGGCCACCTCCAAACCAGAAAGAATTACAGTAATCACTCTTTCAAACTCTCTTGGAAGAAGCCGTTTTTTACCACTGGATAAGCATCACATGACAGTTTGAAGTCCTATCTTACTCATTCAACACAACACAAATCACACACACACACACACACACACACACACACACGCATGCCCACATACTCTCTGACCCTACACCCACTCCTACTAACCATATGCCTCAAAACACATAAAAAAATTTCAGGCAGAAGTAAATCTGAGACGACCACCCTCACTCACCCTATCCGCTCTTAACAGTGACTCCCATGGCTCTTTCTTACAAGTCTGCACCAAACAACATGCTTTTTTATAATGTATTATTTATGAAACAAAAAAGTTAGTTGAGCAGAAACAACAAATGCTAACCAACTTAATACTGAGACGACAAGAAAAGTACATGTTTGGCTTAAAATACATGTAATTGGAGCACGCTAACCTGACCTAGGATTCTACATTCATTTTTCATGCGCTCGTAAAAAGGCTGTAATTAGAATTGCAAAGCAGCTCGGAGTTTATAGATTTGTAGTCCTGTTACAGCACACGCAAACTGATAAATGTTCGTACTAGGACTATCTGGAGCAGACACGCAGCCTCTTCAGTGCTCACCCAAGGCCAGTGTATTGGATTGGCTGAATCTTACAAGTACCTGTGCTTGAAACTGCTCAGTCCAGATTGACATAGAACATGTGTTATAGGACTGCAACTCAATGCACTTCACCGAACAAATCACTAAAAGAGAGTGAAGAGATAACGGGACTTTCTGAACACGTAGGTATTTAGTTTACATTTAAATAAGCTTTAGGGGTAGGGCACATTTAATTCAGAAAGAAAAATGTGTAACCCCAAATTGGGCGGCACGGTGGATAGCACTCTCGCTTCTCAGCAAGAAAGTCCTGGCTTTGGATCCCGGTCGGAACAGGGCCTTTCTGAGTGGAGTTTGCATGTTCTGCCCGTGTCTGCGTAGGTTTTCTCCAGGTACTCCGGTTTCCCCTACCACTAAAAACATGTACAATAGGTCTAGCATGCGCCTCCTGTACTGGTGATCTCTGTGTGGATTGAGAGACAAATGCCCGTAAATAACAATTGTAAACCGCTTTGTGACTCTGGGGTTTGAAAGACGGTATATAAATAAAGATTGCTTACTCACTTACAACAGTAGATATCTTGGAGGACTTAACAACACAGATCAGAGAATCAAGCCATTATAATACAAGAAATGTAATGATAGAAAAACAATTTGGCCGTAAGGGGCAGATAACGAATGTCCATACATGTCATCACCACTGTCTTTAGACCCTTCTGCATCGGCAAGGAAAATCTCTTATTAAAAAAAAGTGAGAAAGGGAAGCCCACATTGACAGAGAGATCCGCTCCCATGGACGTTTGGGCTAATTCACTGGGATTATGGTGAAATATTGTAATTGTTTGAGCGGCATGACTGTAGTTTCAATAATATCGTTTACCGTAATGTTTTACTGAAGCAAAATAGTAGACAACAAAATGTGTGACTGCGAGCTCCAGAGTTGGTATATGGTCATCATGTCATTTAGCAGTCAATATACGTCTGGCTAAACACATCTCACACTGCCAAAAATAATATAATATGAGGTAACAATTGCTTGAATAGAGTTTTTATATCTTAATTTGAGTACATTCTGAGTTGGGACAAAGCCATTTAGTCTTATTTGAACTGTTGCTTTGTTTTTTTAATTCCAAGGGAGAAATTTCTTGTATCTTTTAAAAACAAGATCATTTTGCTTGTCCTATTGGCAAATCTTGTTTTAAGCAGTCAGAATGTACTCAAATGAAGATACATTTTGCCAAATTTGAGCAACATTTTGACTTATTCTTGGGCACTTTCTGCATTGCACTTCTATAGTTGTCTGACGAGAAGCAAAAAATATTCCAATAGATAGTTCTTCACGCACTGGAGCTACCTGGTCTTCCATCTCGTTGTGATGGGTCCTGACTGCCTTTGCTTCTGAGATCTGACAGGACCAGGCTTTGATCACGGGACATCATTTGGAAACTGCCTTTTCTTGTGTGGCCGTTCGTCAGTGGAAAATGTTCAACAGAGCTGATAACAAGCACAAACTATCAAACGTTCTCACTCCTGACAAAGAAATGGCTCCTGTCAAACCACATTTGTCCCAACGTCAACTGTCTGTGTGAAAGTGTGAATGTGTGTGTGTGTTTCCTGAAGTGTGGATGTGAAGACATGATTTAAAATATGACTTCAGGCTGATAGTTGTGAAAGCAGAAACGTGATGTTTTTTAAATTAGTCTTCTGATAGATTCTACAAGTTGATAATTTGTTTAAAAACCAGAAGAGTTTTTTCGTACCTGACTGTTTCGACTTTTGGCGCCCACTCTTCCTCAGAGGGGTCTCATATCATAATAACCTGGTGACCTGTTCTTGCATATCTAAGTACATGAACTAAAACTGATTAACAGGTATGGCCATGTATAAACGGTCTGACATTAATTTGACTCCAGAAGGGATCTGAACCAATTTGGACTTTTAAAGTTGCAATATGCAAGATTTTCAAGTCAAGTCATCATGAAATGGCCTTAATCTTTCAAAAGGCATTAATAACATGCACGTTTCAAATACTTCTTTAACTGATAACAGTAGTTCCGCCGAGATATTCAAATTTCAAAATTATTTTTACTGCCCCTTAATCATTTCTATGTCCAATCGGAAAGTCTGTGATCCGGGTTGCCAGAACTCATCGCGTCGGGCTAATCTCTAGTAAAGTAACATGTGGCCGAAGAACTAAAAGAGGTCTCGTTATGATTCTGAAATCATTAAGGACAAAACAAGGAATAAAACAAGGATTTCAATCGGACCTTTGTGAAAAATGTGTTGGTTTAGATTAGTTGTTGACAAATCTCTTGTCTATTCAGATATTATGGTCCCTGCTGGATTTGTCTGACTATCTGGCAACCTGTGTCAGGGAGAGTGGAGAGGTTGCAGTACCACTTTTGGCCAGATTTTTACACACTGCTCCTTCAAAGATTGAAGAAATCTGCCTATAACATACAGGTGAAACGCTGTAAATTGATTCTTTATTCGTCCCACAGTGGGGGAAATTTCACTGTTGCAACACACATACATGACAGTAGTAAGAGCACACAGGGAGCACACAAAATGTACAATATAAGTAGCTGCTATATGTTTCTTAGCTAGCTGTAAATGCTTCAATATCTATCTATCTATAGTATACATACAGTATGTATAGTGTAAAGTTATATACAGTACATATAGGGCAAGCCTTGGTTTACGGTCATTCTGATTTTTTCTTTTCTTTTTGGGCTTTTTACAAACTTTGAGTAAATCATCAACATAAACTCTAACAATCTACAACATTTATAGACATTTATCAATATTCATGAACATTGGGCAACTCCCTATGGACCGATACCTATTCGTTCTATATTCTATGTGTTTGAACTGTCTGATTCTCTGATCTGTGTTGGCGATTTCCACGGTTACAAGAACAAATTGAATTGAAATGAATTGAATAAAAGCTTGATGAATCTCACTCTATGATCATATTATTAGATTATGATCTGATTCATCTATTTCATTCTGCACTTTATTGTATTTTGTATCTTGTGTTTCTGTGTTTTTATGGATTCCCGCTGGTGCTCTGTCTGCATATGAAGTTCCTCGCGGATAAATTGAATTGAATTATATTACAGCAGTACATTGACTGTTAAACGATATTCTAATTTCCCCTACACAGGTCAAACAGATTCAATATTTCACTGTTTGTATGTTTCACAGTTTAAGGAGAGAGAGAGTCAGCGGGGAAAAATACAGTATCCTTTTGTCTGATCTCAGCAAAAAACAGACTCTGAGCATACACCAATCCACTCTGTTGAAACATGCCTCACGCAAACTACAAAACAATTGCCACTTTTATCCTGTATTTTCTTCTTCTCCGGGAAATGTCTGTTATTTTACTCTCAGCGTTTACGGCGGTTTTACTGTGATTTGCAGCAGAGAGTGAGTTGGACCTGTGCAGTGGAGATGAGTTGTCCCTGGAGGCCTCAAACACATTCACATCCCATCGTCCCATTTTACCGAAAAGAGCCTCGACGGAGAAAAAAAAACAGTCAGAAATAGAGAGAGAGACGTCTGTTATCGTCATCGCAGCGCTGGGAAAATGACAAGAAAGTGGTAAAAGTGTGTATAAGATCGAGATTTTAGAGGATTAAAACTCGGGTTGTGGTTAGCTGGGCGATACGTGACATTTTTCATCACGGTTATTCCCCTGGATTCACCGATCACAATTTCTGATATGACTTTTTTCTTCTTTAATTAAATATAAAAACCAAAGTATAAGCATGCCGACTTTTATAAATAAAGTCGATTGGATTTGGAGTTCTGTCACAGCCTTGACTCAAATTGACCCATAATTAAATTAAATACTATAAATGGAAACACTTTTGAAGTCTTTTGGTCATGCTTTAATAGTGTCTATAATAATGAGGTTGAGAGTGATGTATGCGAGGATTAAAGCAGCTGGATCTTCACCAAAAGAAAGAACATTTGACTCATTCCGCTGGGATTATCTGCGTTAATAGCGATGGCAAAGCACAATATGGTTAAAACAAGCCATTGGTTTTAAAATGAAGACTAGATCGACTTTGAGATTTTGAGCAGAAGCCCCACATCTGACCATGTGGCTGGAAATCAAGATAAGACGGAAAGGTAATTTAAAGAACCTGATGTGATTGATTGGATTTATTCAGAGCTTATAAA